TCCTGACTAGCTAGATTCCGAGGCTTCTAGACAAAGATCGCAACTAGCATCTTGAACTTAGGCCGGGTTGATAAATACATGCTACTGGGTCATGGAAACTGCTAGGTCAAGGCAAAATGGCGTAGCTTCACATACCTTGGTTCACCGTTCAACCAAAATAGATGAGAACCGTCTCGATCAAGTCGCATAGAATATTAGGGGTGAAAGTCATAGTGATAGGCTGCTGTTGCTGAATACCACAGTCAAATCGTCCTGAAGCCACCGCAGGCCAGGGCGGACGACGAGATTGGCTAATGATGAAGTGTTTTTAAGTTAGAGAGAGAGATACGCCATTGAAGCAGGTAGCCATTGCAGATATAGACTGATGGTATCAGCCAATGATGCTGAAGCTTTTGGAAACTAACAGAGATGGACAATATCAATATTTGATTCCGCCTTCCTAAGCACTTAGGAGAGTAGAGTTTTATAAGCCAGCGAGAGCTGTCTACTCGTAAACAACGATGCTTCCGATATATGCTTGGTGTGACTGAAAGTGTACATATATGTCCTTGAAACCATCTGCAAAGAATCCTCAGCCACCGAACAATGAAGTACTTGGCGAAAGGCTGGGACTTGTCCATCATGATTGTCGGCGCTACCTCATGCTATTTCAATCAACTTGCCTGCACAATGTTTCTAGAAGGATCTCAGAAAAGGTCGACAAGGATGTAGTCACTGAATATTCACCAGGAATACGTCAATAGCGAAAGCGAAGATGGGCGACAGGGCCTCATGAGCGTGGAACTATGTACATACCCAGCCCTCTGCATTCCGTCATCGAATGCCTGTACTAGGATCAAACAGATTCCACAACAACATCGATCCACTTAAATTTCCTGTTGGCCATCTGGAAGGACCTCGCAGACATGCATACTTATTACAAGGCACGCAGCAAGCACGAGACCTCTCAGCCCGAAGGCTGCTTGTGCTGAGGAACTGCCCATAAGATCGCCGACAGTGGTTTAAAAAGCAACTTGCAACGATCTAGAGAGCTTTAGACGACAAAATGCCACTGCCTGTTGTTTCCATCGACTTTATTGGTCCTGAGAGATGCGATGGTCATGCGTGTCGTCTTCTATCTTCACCGAACCTCTCACCTCGCGAAGCCACTTACCACCATGGAGCATTTGTCAAGAGCAATACGAGGAGGCAATAGATGGGAATAGCCGACAAATACCAAGCGTGCCGAGCGACAGAGTAGGTAAGTGTGAACCTCCTAGGATGACGATCGCCTAGCAGTCCTTTCCCGTATTTCCTACAGATATATGACTTACATCACCATGCATTCAACAACATGGACAAGAACATTGCGTTTCTTGTTTGATCAAAATACATGCCATTGTTGCCTGCTCGCTTTTATGCTTTATACCGCATCCCATCCCGCGTTCCATTGATCTGGATATCACACGCGGAATGGACAGAAAGTTAAGTTTGAGTATGTCTTCATTAAGTTTAATCTGAATATACAAGAAAGAGGTTTCATGCCCTGCCGATGCAGGCGTGGTATCATATTCGCAGCACAATTTCATCCATCCCTTTCATCAAAAACACCTTCCCGGTACGCCAGCGCCATATCAAAGTGCGCCAAACTCATGTACGCGTGCATCGTTTTAGGCATCGCAGCTGGTCTGAAAAAGACCCACCAACCCCTACTCGAATCCGAAGCGGGCCCCGAATTTAGTAGCGGTTGCGCTGCCACCAGCGGCGACGGCGGTAGGGGGTGTGCGTGGCAGGAGGAGAGTAGTGGTCGACCTTGGACCTCTGCTGGCGGCGCTTGTGCAGACGACCGCTGCAGCAGGTGAAAAAGACGACGATGGTGCCGAGGAGCAGGCAGATGGCGGCAGCGAGCAGGGTCCAGAGAGCGACGTCGAAGTGGGCGTAGCTGTCGCTGTCGCCACCGTCGGAGTCGTCGTTGACGTTCTTCTTGATGAGGGCGAAGCCGACCCAGTCGCAGATGAGGGCGACGAGGGTGATGATGAAGGAGGTGCCGGCGACGAGGGCGGCGAAGAGGGAGCCGAACATGCCAGCGCCAACAGAGAGAATGAAGGCGATGAAGGAGACGGCGGCGGCGATGGGGTGGAGGATCATGACGCGGGTCAGGGCCTCAGAGGTGTTGGAGGAGTAGGTGGAGTAGTTGGTGCCGTCGGACTCGGAGACGATCTGGGCCGGGTCGTAGCCGATGCGGGCGGAGGGGCAGCGGTCGGAGCCACTTGGATGTGTTAGTGATAGGTTGGTCAACTTGAAGATGAGGTCGACTTACTCTGCATTGGCGCCGCGGATGCAGTATCCGAACGTGCCAAATGTGATCTCGTTGCCGGCGGAAGCATCACCGAGCTTCACGGTCAAGATGGAGATGTTGTTCACCACCGGCGAGGAGATGCTGGTGATGACCAAGAGGACCGTTGCTACAAGGAGCAAGAAGGTACCGAAGTGGTGGATAAAGCCTGTGACAGCCATGGTGATGGAATTGTACTGCCGGCTGGCTAGTGTTGAAGGGTGTGGTGGTCGTTGATTGGCGTTAAGCTATATTGAACGAGACGAGTGGCGATGGAATACAGAGCGGATGAACATGTTCGTGAAAGGGAGGGCGAGGCCGTCCGCATATAAGCACCACCGTCTCAGGACCCCCCCTGAGTTGAGCCACGAAGCAGGAATCTGCATGATGTGCGATGATCTGTGACTGCGACCACGCTGGGCACACGCTTCGGGGCCAAGAATGCCGTGTAAGTCAGGGTCTCGACGCAGCCCAACGGATGCGACGTCATCAAGGTGGCCGTGGCCGAGCCTGGCCCTCCATTCTGGTGGCTTGACAAAATGGAATGGACCCTTGCTTGCGCAAACAGAACCCCCGCGCCACGGTTGGTCGGCTCGACTAGTTGCTAGGCTCCTCCGTAAGTGTTCTTTTCGGTTCGAGCCAAAAAAGCTGGTGATGGTGGCTTCTCTCAGCGGATGAATGTGGCACTGAGGTGACGTACTAGCGACTTCGCGAATCTGATTGGTCCGTCGCGGCGTCGCTTGCCGATCTAGGGTATTGCAGGTTGCAGGTGTTCCTTGTTTTGTGGCCCTGGAATGACGCCACGCCCTGAATGAACCCCGGCACTAGTAATCCAACTTCAACGTCAGAGACGTTAGGCCAGCTGACTGCCGTTAATTGCCAATTCAAGACTTTTCCTCGGAGTGCTACATGCAAGCCGTCGTCAGTCGGGAACACGACGTTGTAGCGCTAGCAAAAGCCTTCAGAGACATCTTCGTCATTGTCGACTGTATTTTCCTAGGTTTGGCAATCTGATGTCGAGATGTCAAATGTCGTTCCTGTTCTTGGTGTGGCTCGTCCTGAACATCTCAAGGACCGACAGGTCAATGCATCGTTCACGCTCGCATAATTTAGGTTATGCAGCCGAAACATTATCAGTTCCGTCCGATGATCTGAGCCAATCCAAAGCCTTTTTGGAGATTTTCTGCCATCCCATCTGCTTAATGAGCCTCCTGCCAATTGCCAGTTTAGTCGGGAAATATTGTTCCCGTAATTCGACACGTCTTGGCGACAGCGCCAAACTCCGATCAGGCTGAAGTGAAGGGTCGTTGCGATTCCTCAGCTTTAGTTTCCGGGAGCGGCGATGCGTCCTGTTGAGGACGCGCAATCGGCATGATGGTGCGATGGGGCTGAGGCAGTAGCAGGTGCCGTTGTCGGCCGTAGTTGGGCTATGCAAGTGCCACGCGAAGCAAAAGAAAAGTCTTTCGGCCGCGTGTGCGTGATCGGCACCAAGTTCAACCATTCCGTGACTTCTCTCGCAGCTGCAAAAGACCATCCATGATGGGCGGCGTGGCATTCCGTCTCTCGCGGTGCTGGATGCGGTCGATGATGGCGCGCGTACTCACATCCATCGACTTGCTTCCGAGGAGAATGTCCTCCCACAGCTGGCTTTTCTCAGATGCCGGAATCTGGCCGCCAGTCTCCCAGTCTGCCAGGCCCTCAGTCATGATATTTTTTGGCAAAGTTTCCTTCAAGGTAGACACCATGGTGGTCTCTCGACGAGACTCGGGCCAAGGCCCGTGAAGAGGCGAAGACCTGATGGCCGCCGCGTGGATATACGATTCCGCCGGGAAGATGTGCACCGTGAATTCCTTGTGATCCTCCTCAGCTGCGGGGCGTGTAGTTTCGGTCTCGGGTGCGCTCTCCGAGGCCTTCGATTTTGTTATCGGTTCGGGCGAGTTCGCGTTCGTGAGGAACATCTGGACGGAGCCGTGCAGTCGTGGTATCGCGATTTGGTACTGCAGGGGGCTCATGTTGACAAGCGATTTAGCCTGCGCCTTGTCGGCAAGCACTGAGATGAAGGAAGAGTTGTCCTACAGGTTACGATCAGGTTAGGAACATTGTCGCAAGCATGCCAAGATGCTGGAATCCTTACATTGAGCTTCTTGAACACCTCAACGCGGGCGAACTTTTGCAGCGAGTGCAGGACGGCGCGCCGCTCGGCAAACTTGGCTGGGCGCGGGGAGACTGTGACCTGGACGGTTCGAGAGCCGAGCTTGTACGAGAAATCCTGAAGGACGGTATGTCCTCTGGTCGACATCTTGCGAGCTGTTGCGATCGAATGTCACATGCCTCTTGCAATCGCATGCTGAAGTTGAAACTCCGCTCGAAGAGGTTGTCCAGCTACTGTGGAGTCCGCCACCGTGCGGATGCCCAGATTTGCCAACGGCCGCACAGTTTTCAGGCTGGGGTGCCCCGCCATGGCGGGGAGGGTTCGCTCTGCGACTGGTATCCTTCTAGAACAGCTTGGAACGCGCCTACGACATCAACTTGGGCAGCCTGCTTCGTGTTCAGATACATCTCCGGCAGCTGGACATTTTGAATATCTCACCTATCTTTCACTGCATAGCTAGACAGCATTCATACAGTTGCATCAAAGCTATTCCCGCACGATCGTCCCACCAGACAGACAGACCGACTCGCAATCATGGCCGCCATCATCGACGCCGACGACATGATGGAGCCCACGCTCCAGTCCCTCCTCGACCAGCGCTCTCTGCGCTGGATCTTTGTTGGTGGCAAGGGTGGTGTCGGAAAGACCACCACGTCGTGCTCTCTCGCCATTCAGCTCGCCAAGCACCGCCGCTCCGTCCTCCTCATCTCCACCGATCCGGCGCACAACCTGTCCGATGCCTTCAACCAGAAGTTCGGCAAGGAGGCCCGTCTGATTGACGGCTTCACCAACCTGAGCGCCATGGAGATTGACCCCAACGGCAGCATGCAGGACCTCCTCGCCGGACAGGGCGAGGACGTGGACGCCATGTCAGGCGGTCTGGGCGGCATGATGCAGGATCTCGCCTTTGCTGTATGTCTTTCCCCCGTCCTCCTCCCTTATAGTTAAACCCAGCTAACGAAATGTCCCACGATAGATCCCTGGTATCGACGAAGCCATGTCCTTCGCCGAAGTCCTCAAGCAAGTAAAGTCCATGTCCTATGAAACAATCATCTTCGACACCGCCCCGACGGGCCACACCCTGCGCTTCCTCTCCTTCCCCTCCGTCCTCGAAAAGGCCCTCGCCAAGGTCTCCCAGCTCTCCTCCCAGTACGGGCCCCTCCTCAACGGCTTCCTCGGCCAGGGCGGCCAGCTGCCCAACGGCCAGAACCTCAACGAGATGATGGAGAAGCTCGAGACGCTGCGCGAGACCATCTCCGAGGTCAACACCCAGTTCAAGGACGAGGCCCTGACCACCTTCGTCTGCGTCTGCATCCCCGAATTCCTGTCCCTGTACGAGACGGAGCGCATGATCCAGGAGCTCGCCAACTACGGCATCGACACCCACAGCATCGTCGTCAACCAGCTGCTCTTCCCCAAGAAGGGCAGCAACTGCGACCAGTGCAACGCCCGCCGCAAGATGCAGAAGAAGTACCTCGAGCAGATCGAGGAGCTGTACGACGAGTTCAACGTCGTCAAGATGCCGCTGCTCGTCGAGGAGGTCCGTGGAAAGGAGAAGCTGGAGAAGTTCAGCGAGATGCTGACGACGCCGTATGTGCCCCCTGAGATGGACTAAGCAAGCGTGCGCGGGAAGGTTTCGTTTGAAGGGGAGAGGGTTGTTGGTGCATAGTGGTTCAAAACATGATTACGGAAAAGGCTTTCACGAAGGGATGGTAGCATGAGGCGTCAAGAGTCACGAGTGGAGACATAGAATACATTCACAAAACGATTTGATACCCGGTGATTCATGTGCAGGAGACTTTATTGATCATCTTGAGTGCGTGTTGTTAGATACAGAGAGAGCTCCACGCTGAGCACACTGTTTTTTGGAGGATGAATTGTCCTCGTTATCCCTAGGTGTCGATGCTCTCCTGCATTACGATCACACACTTTGCTTCCCCCAAGACCAGCCCGAGACCCCTTCCAGGCGGTAAAAAAGGAAACCTCCCTCCCAATCAATTCCCCGTGAACGCCGAAGACTAACGTCTTGTCCAACTTCCTCTTGGCAAGTGAGGACATGAGTTGTGCCGTATTTGTTTTTTTCCAGAATGATAAAGCCGTGATGCGATGCGTGTCGTCTAAGTAGTATTACAGTTGAAGAGGTCGTGACGAATGTTGTTATGGTCGTGCAGAAGTCGCTCAGAGCTCGCGGTAGTCACTAGGCCTTACGCGACGTTGGCGATTCTGGTGGCGGTGGGGATTGACTGGTCTCCTGAAGTAGGCGTCATCCTCGTTGTTCGGCTGGGTGAAGTTGTGGCGTTGCTGGTTGAAGCCGCCGGCCATGGCCCCGTTCATCCCACCATTCATACCACCGCCGTTCATATTACCGCCGTTCATTCCACCATTTATTCCGCCGTTCATACCATTCATGCCGTTCATGTTTCCGCCAAAGTTACCGCCGTTCCAGTTGTTGTTGCCCATGTCGAAGCCGCCTCCGTTCATCGGGTTGAAGCCCGGCATACCCATCATCGGGTTCATCATGCCCATCATCGGCATACCCATGTTCATGTTGCCCATATTGGGCATGTTGGGCATGTTGGGCATATTAGGCATACCCATGAAGCCGTTCATCATGTTCATGTTGCCGAAGCCCATCATGGGGTTCATTGGCATGTTGCCCATGCCGTTCATGCCGTTCATCATGGCTTGTTGTTCCTGCTGCTTCTGCATTGCCTTGGGGGCTTTGGGAATCTTTGGGTTCTCCATCAACTCATCGGCAGGCCGTTTCTTGGAATTGGTGGATTCTTCGGAGCCAGCACGATCGACAGGTTTCGCCGAGGCAGTTGCGGGTGTGGCTGATGTTGACTTGGGTGTGCCGTCGGCTGCAGGGGCCGCTGTGGTGGCCGGGGCGGTTGAAGGCGACTTCTGAGGTGTGGGTGATTTCGCAGTTCCGTTGGCAGTCTCCGTCTTCGCCTCTTCCGTGTTCTCTTTCGGCGAAGCGGCTTGAGCGGGGGATGCGGCCGTTGCCGTCGGGCTCTTGGCCTCAGTCTTCTCGTTCAGATACTGCTTGATCTTGTCGGCGGCCTCCTCATCAGGTTTCAGGTCGTCGATCAAAACGCCCTCGTTAGAACAGTTGGGGCAGACGAAGTCCGATTCGATGAGAGCATTTGTGATGCAATCATTGCAATACGTCTTCTGGCAGCACGGGGTCTTCATTGGGTCTATGAACATCTTCTTGTCGATGGGGCATTCCAATCCTCTCTCCTGCAACTCCTTGTCTCCCATAGCAATCGCCTTGGCAGCGGAGGCTGAAGACTTGGCCTTGGCTTGGAACTGTTCCCACGATGCCTTGTCAGGCTCAGCGATAACGAATTCTCCCTCAGCGTTGACCATAATACCAGAAGGTCTCTTGGTCTCGTCGTCGCCGCTCTGTGCGAGGGCGACTGACTTGTCAACGGTGCGCAGGAATGAGCGGGGGATACCCGTAGTACGCTTCACGCGAGGACGGTTGTCAAACTCAGGGTCATCATTCGTCGGGCAGAGTTGAATCCAGTGTCCCTTCTCTCCACAGCGATAGCAAATGTATCCATTGGGAGGATCATGATCAGGCACATTGGCAGGCTTTTTGGATCCAGGCTTAAAAACTGGTGTTTGGCTGTGGTAATGTTAGTGACTGAAGTATGCGTTGCGTGTCGGGATAACCTACTGTGACATCTCCTCCTGTTGGGCAGACCAAGACTCGGTCTGGGCCTGGAACATGGCCGCCATCTTCTCTTCTTCCGTCATGGCATTGTTCATCTGGCTGATGGCATTCGATGCCGCCTTGGCCGTTGCGGACTTGGTCGTTTGCTCCTTTCGAGAGGAGTTCTTCGCGGCGACGGGCATCTTGCCGGAGACATATCTAGCGCCGCGGCCAGCACCGGGTTTCGCGGCAGGTAGTCGGCGAGCGACTACGGTCGTGGATCGAGGAATGATTGTCGTGTCATCGTCGTATTCTGCCCATGGTTAGAAGGGGGTCATCACAGCAGTCGGGAAATGGGCTTACCTTCACTTCCATCCTCAGAGTAAATGGCCAGGTCGAAGTCAGTTCCGTCGCCAAGACCACTCTTCAGGATGATGTCGCGCTTAAGCTCGAACACAGAAATGCCGGTGCCATCGAACTCGACTCGCGTCGGCTCTTTTTGCGACTTGAACTTGAAAAAAACCGAGGAAGCCATCGTGTCTCGCGTTGCGTAGTCTGATTACGACAGTTGATCGAAGCAGCAGACGCCGACAGCAGTAATGGCCAAGATCAAAATTTGATTGAATGCGGCGATGGTGAACCTGAAGGGCGACCACGAAGACGCGAAGCTAGGTGAGTAGAGAGTGATTTGATGCTAGTATTTTTTCTTGTTGCCTTTTGAGTGATCTCTCTTGCGTTCTGCACCTCTCAAGAGTAATGGAAATCAATTCTGATTTACTTGGAAGAACAAGGAAATAAGGGTTCGTGGGATGTAGAGAAAGAGTACAATGCCAAAGAGGCCGACAACCAACTGGACGATAGGCAGCCCTTTGTGTGAATTCCTCCTCACAGCCAAATCACCTCGACACCGTGCGCACCATCAGTCGAGAAGCCTCAATAAGCCAAGTATATTTTCTCCTGGTCAGTATGTGTGTATATCGAAGCGAGAGCTGCTGCAATGCTCTGCTTGCCAGTAGGGGAGACAACGGTCGGGGGTGGTGAGAGGTTCGCGTCGAGCGGGCACTTGCGTCGCTTGTCGCCGAGATTTCGGAAAGTGTTTGGTTGAAGGCTGAGCGGCAGGTAAAATGTCGCACAGTCGTACAAGAGCGGATCCCTGAGCAAGGAAAGGCGTAGCGATCGAAATGACGGGAAAACGGGCGACGTGGTGATGTTCGTGGTAGGAAAGAGAGGAGTAAAACAAAGGGGGAAGAGAAGAGATATAACCGGGCTTGGGTTGCAGGCAGATATGGCTGGCAGAGGAAGAGAGGGTGCTCTGGAACCCACTTGGTACGCTGCCACCTGATTCTGTAGCACTCTCTCTCGGGGCAGGTGGCAGGTCGCAGCTGGCTGGGCTGGCTGGATGGCACGTGAGCTGTCGGAGTGCAATTTCTAAGCTGGCAGGCACGAATTTCCGAGGGTCTTTCCCAGTCTCCACTCACTGCTGCTTTTCCTCTTTGTTCCTGCCACGTCCAAAAACTCGGAGCTGAGTCACTGAGACCATCAGCCACAGCACCAGCCACTAGCAGTAAGCCACAGAGCTCCCGTCCCAAACCACTCTTAAACGGAAACCGCCGGCGCGACCGGGTCACGTGCTGCAGCACGCAAAAGGTCCTCTACGCTGTAGGCCTAGCGTCTCCACGCTCTCCAAAGTGTTAGCAAATTGCGGGCACCCGGTCCCTTACTGCTGCTGATACGGCCGCTGCTTGCCGAAGCGCCACGCATTGAGTACCCCGCCATCTGAGCACCTCAGTCACAGTCAGTGTGGGCAGGCGCATGTGGTGGTGGTAAGAGGTACTCTCGGTGCAGCAGATTTCTGGTCAGCTCTGTTGCGCCCGATGTAGAAGGTCCAGTCCGGCGTCATGCCCCGCACCTCATTGTTGAACGGCCTCGCCCGCCCTCAGACTATTCGAAAGTTTCTTCCTACAACTCCCAGACTTCTCCCGTGTTGGCAAACGACTCGGATAGCTAACGCTCGCCGTCCCTACCTTACCCAAGCAATACAAGCTCACCAAGCTCGCAAGATGGCTCCCCAACTTGACGGCTACTTCAAGCAGGTCGACACCGATGCCGACCACTTCATCGAGCGCCTCAGGAAGGCCGTTGCGATCCCTTCGATCTCTGCCGACGTCGCGCGCCGTCACGATGTCGTGAAGATGGGCGAGTGGCTCGCTGCTGAGCTCAAGTCTCTTGGCGCTTCCGTCGAGCTCCGCCCCCTCGGCGAGCAGCCTGATAAGCCCGGCCTGCAGTTGCCCCCCGTTGTGCTCGGTAGATATGGAAACGACAAGAACAAGAGGACTATCCTGGTCTACGGTCACTACGACGTCCAGCCCGCCGAGAAGAGTGACGGCTGGTCTACTGAGCCTTTCGAGCTCTCCGTCGACGAGAAGGGCCGCATGTTTGGTCGCGGTTCTACCGACGACAAGGGACCCGTTCTCGGCTGGTTGAACGCCATTGAGGCTCACCAGAAGGCCGGTATTGACTTCCCCGTCAACTTGCTCATGTGCTTCGAGGGTATGGAGGAGTACGGCTCTGAAGGTCTCGATGATCTTATTGAGGCTGAGGCTAAGAAGTACTTCGCCGACGCCGACGCCGTCTGCATTTCCGATAACTACTGGCTTGGAACCGAGAAGCCTTGCTTGACCTATGGTCTGCGTGGCTGCAACTACTACTCTGTTGAGATCTCCGGCCCCGGCGCCGACCTCCACAGCGGTGTCTTTGGTGGTACTGCCCAGGAGCCCATGACCGACATGGTTCGCGTCTTGGGTTCCCTGGTTGACACCGACGGCAAGATCCAGATTCCCGGTATCATGGAGCAGGTTGCTCCTGTAACTTCTGAGGAGGAGGGTCTCTACGATGGCATTGCCTTCACCATGGAGACTCTCCAAGAGTCTCTCGGCAGCAAGACCACCATCTTTGAGGACAAGAAGCCTACTCTCATGGCGAGATGGCGTTACCCCTCTCTCTCCCTCCACGGCATAGAGGGAGCCTTCTCCGCCCCTGGCGCGAAGACCGTCATCCCCGCCAAGGTCACTGGCAAGTTCTCCATCCGTACCGTGCCCAACATGGAGATCGACCAGACCAATGAGTGCGTCTACAAGTACGTCAAGGAGCAGTTTGCCAAGCTTGGCAGCAAGAACACCATGAAGGTGTGGGCTCAGCACACTGGCAAGTGGTGGGTTGCGTCGCCCAAGCACTGGAACTTCACTGCTGCTGCCAAGGCTACGGAGCGCGTGTGGGGTGTCCAGCCCGACTTCACTCGCGAGGGTGGAAGGTAAATACAATTCGCCCACAGATATGATAATAGTTGCTAACCATTCACAGCATTCCCGTTACCCTGACCTTCGAGCAGGCCACTGGCAAGAACGTTCTTCTGCTGCCCATGGGCAGCTCCACCGACGGCGCCCACTCCATTAACGAGAAGCTGGATAAGCGCAACTACATTGAGGGTATCAAGCTTCTGGGTGCCTACCTGCACTACGTTGCCGAGGAGCCCATGGCATAATTGATCGTGTGACCACAAGGAGGGAGGAGGCAAGGAACAGTAGATTCGGTAGCGTACATAGTCAGCTGCTCTGTACGGCTAACGACGGGCCCATACTGGCCCGCAGCCGATTATCTGCCGGCACACTGTAGACGCATTTATCGCGTAATAGTGTACCGCTATTTGGGAAGTTCAAGGTTTAGGTCATAGGCGAAATAATGAAATACCCAGATCAATCAAATTATTCGTGCCCAAGTTAATCTATGTATGTGGGGGTATTAGTCCGTAAGATGTCATATTGCGCGTTCAGCGTGGTGGTATATCGTATCCGGTAAATCGAGCCAAAGAAACAAAACGCCGGTGTGGATGATGAGGTGAAGCCCAAATCGGCTCGGGATTTCTCGTGGAGTGGGTGGGTATCGGAGCTTTTCTCCACGTGAAAGCTCTACTTCTTCCGGGCGGCGGCCGTCACCCTGCGGCTCCGCCTCTTCGCCACCACCTCCGGGTCCCACGTCCCGGAGAACATGTCTTCAAGATCATCCTCGTCCTCCGAGTCCAACTCAATCTCCTCCTCGGTCCCGGAGGAGTCCTCCCCCGCGGACCCCTCTCCGCTCTCGCCTTCGCGCCCCGCTTCCCCGGCGACCGCCTTGTCCTTGGTGCCTCCCATCACCTCATCCTCGTCACTCTCGCTCTCGTCATACACCCCCTCCTCGTCTTCATCGTGGTAACCCCCCTGCCCCGGGGAAACGTCCTCCCAGCTGCGGAACGGCACCACCCGCTCGACCTCGAGGATGAACTTGCCGACCTTGTACTTCTGGCTGAGCTCCTTGGCGTCGACGTACTTCCAGCCGAGCTTGGCGCTGCACAGCAGGCACGTGATGTCGGCGACGACGTGCCAGCCCGTGACGAGCTGGCGGTTCTCGCACTTGCCGATGCGCACGTTGGCGAGGGTGCCGGGCCCCGCAGGGCCGGAGTTCCTGGTGGAAGCGGGCGAGGCGGGCGTGGGCAGGGCCGTGGGGGAGACGAGGTAGGCGCGGCCGTAGCGGCCGGTGAAGCCCTTGGAGACGATCTGGGAGGCGAAGGCAATGTCGCTGGAGCAGGTTGAGCAGCGCAGCGTGTCGGGCTGGGTGCGGGTGATGGTGAGGGCGGCGGGTTTGGTGCGTGTTTGTCGGCGGGGGCGCAGGCGGGAGGGCGGGAGTTTGGTGTCGGCGGGGGAGGCGGGCGATGAGGTTGTGATGGTGTCTTGGTAGGGCGGCGGGGGAGGGCTGTTTGGAGGCGTCGGGGCCTCGTCTGTTGTCGAGGATGTCGGCGAGGAGGAGAGGGAGGGGATCTGGCTTGCTTCTGGCGTTGGGGTTGTTGTCGCCGTCGTCGTTGGTGGTGGTGGTGGTGAGGATGGGCGGCGGCGGAATGGGAGGTTGAAAGAGGGGAGTAGGTAGGTTGGGAACGTTGGGCGGGAGACGACGATGTTTGGCGCCATGGTTTTGTGGTGTTTACTCTTTTTTCTTCGTCTTTGTGTCTCTCGAGGATATGCGCCCGAGGTTGTGTAAGTTGCGCAACGCCTCCGGATACAGGTCCGGACGGGCACGATATGCGGGTGGAGGACAGAAAGAGAGAGGAGCTATGTTCGTTGGGAGAGATTGCGGCGCACGATGGAAGCAACAGTCGGGAAGCCAAACATGACTTTTTTCCTTCTTCCTCTGGTGTTTGGTGTTTGATATGTAGGTGTTAGTCGGTCCGGGACCGAAGGTGTATGGATAAGGGAATCTTGGGACGACGCCGGGCTGGGTTTGCTTGGGTGGTTGTTGCTGTCACGCCCTGGGCTGCGCGACCGGAGAGGGACCGTCAGACGGCTTGGGTCGATGTCAAAGATGGTGTGGGCTGGGCGTACTTATTGGTCAAGACCGGGTTGGAAGAGAGAGTCAGGTAGGCACACCCATTCGTAGGATGGAAAGCAGCTTTTCGGCACGAGACGGAGGGCAGGTCAGGCTGGCTTGAATGACTTATGGGCCGGCCGCCTGGCATCAGGTTTGGGCAGGTTGGGGATCGCGCGCCAAAAAGGATGTGTGTGTAATTCCTTCACGGCTGCTGCGGTAGGCAAGGTACTTCAAGGGTAAAGGATAAGGTAATGGGCCATGCGTTCTCTCTCTTTCTGGGTCTCAAGGTAGTGCGGCCGGCGCGCCGTTGCGACGGCTGCCCCCGCCTTGTTTTGCGGTGAGGGACGGTGTGTGAGAGATACCACATCCTAAGGTCCGGGCGCCGTTCCCTTTTCTGACCTCTCGTCTCAAACGATTACATGTAAGCTGCGCAAGTAACCGTGGTACTCGAGTTCGGTTTGCAATGGTACTACATTTGGGGAAGGCTGAGGAGCGAGAGGCGATAGTGAGGGGGCCAGAAGATGAGCTTGTCATGCCAGATCCTGCGGAAGTTTTGGGCGAGGTGACTGGCTGAGTCGTTCATGAAGGGTGAACCTGTGACCTCTACCTCCTCACAGTCCGAACGGAGCTTGCGAGAGAGGGCAAATGGAACACCAGCTGGCCTGGCCTGGCCTCCTCTTCGACCCCCAACCCCCTCTTCCTCCGACCAACAGTCTCAGACGACCAGCGCTCGGAGGTTGCGGGCGGCAGCATGTCGCATGAGCGATCAGCGGTCGTTAGGCTTGGGTAAGGTCAGTCCGGTGTCTGCCCCCACCCTCCAAGGCGTTATCGATAACACCTTTTTGGAGGACGTGAGCCGATAACATGCGTCGAGGTGGAGAAGCCGCACCATCCTTGGATGGTGTAGTCGGTGCCGGCAATGGAGGAGGTTGCAGTTGGTTTGTCACCGCTCGGCGACCCTTCCCAATATTTTTTTGCTGTGTGTCACTCGAGATTCCTCCTGGTGGTGCTGGTTGGACGGGAATGTGGGTACGATCATTGATCACCTCATTCGATAGTCAAGCCCCGTCAGATGTGCTCCAAGCCAACGACGACGATAACGGCGACGGGTGTGCGGCAAACTTTGGGGGTCCAGTTCCCCCCTCTTTTGGAGACGAGCGAGAGAGGGGAAGGAGAAAGTTAAAGGGCTTCTAGAAGGAGCGAGCTTCTGTTTCGCTATCAATCTTACGAGTCGTGATGTTGCGATCTTGCGCGCCCTGCCGGAAAGCTTCTGTGCGTTCAGAGAAGGTTCGGGGAATGGAGCAATCGATACCGAAACTTTTGCTTGGTGTCTTTTGCACAAGTTGGACAAGACGGTCATCTGAGCCATTGAGTTGCTAGCCTGCTGACCAACCGCAGACGCCTCCGGGCGATCGCAACTACGGCGATGGCGGGCCTGACATAAACCACATTCCCATTCCGATCTATGATGGTCCTCAAGCAGCTTTGGATATTATTATTAGGCGATATGATGGCACTTCATGTTTATCATTAGCAACAGCTATACGGCCCCGTTCATGCCATGCCAGTGAGTCAAGGGGTTAACGGGGTCGATGAGAACCCCGGAGCCCAGGCAATGATGACTCGCAATCGCGAAATGTCAAGTGTGGGGAAACGGAGCGGCTGGGCGCGGTCAAGTGACCCGAACAGAAACACGAACACCCCGGAGAGCACACATCTCTTTGACGCAAAGCTGGGGAATCGCACCACGTCCACCCCAGTATTTCCGCCACATACTGACGTTCTTCGCAAGCTGGTGTTCGGTGACGAGATGTCACGGCATTCCTGTAATTAATCAACCAGCCAAGGTAGACGGGATCCCATCGAACGGTTCGTGGGCTCCTCCGACCATGCCGGGCTCCGGGGCGGGGGATCGCTGCATTGACAGTCGCGGGTTGCCCAGGGAAGGGGAGCCACGTTGTTGTCCGTAGAGCGTTTGGACCGTTTTGACTAAAGCTATCCCGCGGCACGGCGAACGTTTGTAATAGATTTGAGGAACTCAAGACAACATCACGCAAGCCAAGAAGAACGCGACCCTTGGCCTATAAGGTTTGGGGTATGGGATGTGTTCTGTGCAGTTGGAGTTTGACGCAAAAAAGGCCAACCATAAGCATACCGATCGATCAGAAGCTTCCACGGTTATATGTCACTGATACGATGATCTGCCTTGTGCTGGACCAGATACCGGCGTATGATGTGCGATTACCTCAAACTGCTCCAGCCAAAGTCAAGGGGATCCAGAGGGTTTACTCATTCTTGTGGAATCCATCACTAAGAAGAGGCAAACTCCGTGATGCAAGAGCAGGTCAGGGTTCTCCGTGTACACCGTCCGCCAGACACTGGGCTTGGGCTGGCTGCAGGTTGGATTTTGGGCTCGACTGGGCTCGGTTCAGCGCTGTCCACGTGCATGTGAACTTGCAGCTTTCCCCCCCTTCCCTCACTCCATCCCACGGCCCTTGTCGCTGTCTGTTATGCGATTGGCAAGCCGGTCCAAGTGCCAAGCGCCGCGCCGGATCCGGATGGGGAGCGTCCAGCCGAATCGCGATTGTTGGCGGCGGTTGACTGGCTTCGTGTATGATCAGGTCCTTGGGCAAACCCAAAATCCATTGAGGTTGAGGAGATCACGACTTGACCAGCCCAAGGACGGAGAAGGGCTTTGAATTGGCGGCGGGATGAAGGGGTAGACAAGAAAGGCAGCCAATGTGACGCGGCGCAGTGGAAAACGTGCTTGACAGTGCAACATGTACGGGGCGCCGCAGTGGGCTCCTGGCCGGTTTCGTAAGCCCAGAGGCCGTCCGCTCCGTGCTACCGTGGTGGACGACGCTCTAATTAGGGGTCCCGGTGCGGCAATCAACAAGAAACTGGGGAAGTCGATGCGTGATCATCCTGCAATTCGTCGGGGGAGGGTGTATGATGCTTGGAATCTTCGCGAAGGACCAACAACAGGCTCAGACTCCAGACAATGGCAGACATGTTACGCATCAAATGCCATGCCGTGGAGGTGCATTGCCATCGAGAGGACACTGGAAAGAGAGGGGGGAGCATGGGTGGTCGCGCCATCAAAGAAGCGGAAGGTGGAGATGGCATGGCTGATTATGACTGTCCTGTGTGGTTCCAGTGCTGCTGGGTGGTTGTGCCGTGGCCGCTGGTGGTGCAGCAACTGGTCCCCTTCCCACGGTGCCCCCGTCTCCGCCACGCTGGACGTTTCCACGCTCTAGGACTCCGCTGTGGTTTTAAAGGTACTCGCCGGCCAGTCTCACCCGCTGACTTCCTGCCCTTCTCCTCCCACACCGTTCTTCACCGCTCGCAAAAGAAGGTACCCCTTCGCTCCCGCAACAACCGCCGTTCGCAACGCAAAAAAAAATCTCGACGACCTCTCCGTCTCGACAAGCAAGCAATCAATCGCTGTTTACAGCCTCACCGCCAGACAATCCAATAGCTCGATCATCCAAATAAGTCTTTTACGACTCCAATCCAACTCTCCGAATCCCATTCAACCTTCTCGATCACGATCAATCCCAATCTGTCGATCGGTTCCGAATCCCCGAGAACCGCACCTACCAACACAAACCATAAAAACAAACCGAGTCAAGACCAACACCCCCAGGAAACCAATCGCAATGGCGCCAATGAGACAGCAGAGTAATTACAGTAGTAGTAATTTTGATGGCGAGGCCGTTGTCCGTCAGGCCAATGTCCTTGCCAGCTGCTACATCGTCGACTCTGCCGCGACTCTTCGCGGTCTCCACTACTGCACTACCGGGGCCGCAGGTACGTCGCATCCATTCCAACCACCCCTTCTTCAGCCTCATCTTCGACCAACTCGTCGACCACCTGTCTCTCTCTATCCGTCCCCGCCCCCACACTTTCCAACGTCTCACACACTCTCTGGCATGCATGAACCACGACGCTAACCATCCCGCTATCAACAGGGGCCGAGTGGTATTCCTGAGGTCCCCTCCTCAGGACTACCATCACCTCCATCAAGCCCCCCCCTCGCGGCCATAACGGCATCCAACCAGCTCGCGCTGCTTCCCAAAGCCACCAAGCAGCGCCAGCAGCCCGGTAAGAGGATCAGCCGTCGAGGGGGGGCAGCACTTTCGATCAGGGAAGAATGTGAGAGATTCTTTTGCGAGTCCATGAAGGCTGTGTTCCGCGGTGAGAGGGGCACTGGTCCTAATGGCTCCGGCCTGACGGGTGTTTATTCTATGCAAACTCCGCCGTCCGACGAGGACCTGGCTGTTCAGCCCCACTTTGGCGGGCGTGAGACCGATACAAAGGCTCCCGCACCCGCCACGGCGTGGATGGAGGTCTGGGACTTTGCCGGCGGCGCGAGTTTCCGGGCATTTGTGGCGGACGACGGGGCTGAAAAGTCCCTGTTTGCCTTGTTTGACAGGAACGTCATCGGACGTGACCTGAAGCCTGCGTACGTTCACCTCAGATGACTCACGATCTATTACATGCTGACCGTTATCTAGGCTCATGGCTCTGATGGAGTTGGTTGACGGTCCACTGGACTGCCAGCATCTCGTCATCTGCATTGACCGAGGTATCGAGGAGGAAG